GGTCGTTTCCAGCGGCGGCTGACAGGGGACGCCTGGGGCAGAGCAGCTGGGGTGCTGCCGGGTTGGTCCAGAGTGGCGCTGCGGGACCAACCCAGCAGCCCCCAGCTGCTCTACCCCAGGGATAAGCAAGAAAATCCTGGTCTGCTGGGGAGGGGGCACTAGCTGCACCCCCCTCCCCCCAGCAGACTAGGGAGACGGGGGTGGCGGGACCGCCCAAGTCCTCCATGGCTTTGCTCCATCTCTCTGGTCTGCTGACCTGGGAAACGAGGAGCAAAGCCGCAGAGCACGCGGGCAGCGGGACAGTCCAGGCGCGCCGCGGCTGTCCTACTGCTGGCGTGCTCCGAGGCTTTGCTTCCCATCTCCCTGGTCTGCTGGTCGGGAGACTGGGAGCAAAGCCGCGGAGCATGCCCGCAGGGGGACAGCTCAAGCGTGCCCAGGCTGTCCCGCTGCGGGCGTGCGCCAACGCTTTGCTCCCTGTCTCCCTTCAGACCAGGGAGACGGGAGCAGCTTTTCTTGTCCCGGAGGACGGGGGCGGCGGACTGCGGCGCATCTGGGCGTCCCGCCGCTCCTGTCCTCCGGGGCGAGAAAAGCCCCGTTCGTAACTGCGGATCCGACATAAGTCGGATCCATGTAACTCGGGGACTGCCTGTACTGTCAGTGAACAGGAGCACTGTCAATGTACTGTATGGTAGCCTGTTGGGCTGACACCTGTATATGTAAACTTCAGATTCTAGTGCTGTGAATCTGGCATCTTACAGATGAATTAATTTTTAATTAGTGTTTAAAAGGAGGTGATGGGAAGAATTACAATAGAATAGTGCTGATTTAGCCATTGTGAAAGAACAATGTCCTCTCGCCTTCAACAAGGCGAAAAAAGGCATGTACAATCTGCAGTCAGGTGTTCTCTCCCTAGGTGCTGAGAACTATAGCTAAAGAAAAACATGTACATGGAATACAGGAAACAAAGGCTGCCCAGCTGTAGACTTTTTTTCTAAAAGTTTTTAAGCAGAACAGAATGTCCGTGGTGTGCATATTAGATACTTATGTTGAAATTTAAATTGATGTACATCTCACTACATAACTAAAGTAATATTCCTGTTTGAATCGAAGTAGCACATGCTGTTAATTTCTTCATACAAAAGTAGAAATACAAATCCAACCACATAGTTTTTAATGAGCAAAAATTCCCATAGCATATTGAGTTCCACTGTCATACTGAGAAGTGTTCATCTAAGCTATGAAGAAAATGAAGAAACATTAAAACAATGAACACAAGCTATGTTTCACTACTAGAGAATGACAGGAATTTCTTTAACTCTTTCCAGTTTATAATGTTGTTCAAGCAAAATATATATTACTAAAATGAAGAAATAAAATCAGTTTGCCATAAAATGATTTTTTTTAAATTTGACTGTGATAAAAAGTAATATTGCAGATAGTATCAGTTTATCACTTAATGTGTATTGTTAAAATGTTCTAAGGCACCTGCCACTGTTCAAGCAGTATTACTTATTCCAACAGGTTGACAATTCTTCAACTTGCAGTTTTGTGTCCATTTAAAAACTAGGCCAGGTGTGGGCAATAATTTTTGCTGGGTGGCCACTCGAAGAATTTGGTAAGTGGTTGAGGACCACATTCCTCCATTTTATTAATGGAGGAGATTAGGGGGTCTGGGATGGAGGATGGGTACAGAAGGGATTGGGGCATGGGATCTAGGAGGGAGTTTGGGTAAAGGAGAGGATTGTGTCCTGGGGCCGCGGACTGAGGTATAGGAGGGGGTTCAGGGTCTGGAAGTGGAGTGTGACCTGGGGTAGGGGTGCAAGGGTTTGGGTTGTCACCTGGGACAAGGGATTGAGTGCAGGGTCTGGGAGGGGTATGGGTGCAGGAGAGAATTCTGGCTGGGGGGGTGTAGGAGGGAGTACAGGTTGTAACCTAGGGCTGGAAGGGGTGCAGGGATATGTACTGTGACCAGGGACAGCAGATTGGGGTGCTGGAAGGGGGTTGTGACCTGAAGAAGGGTTTAGAAAGGAATGCACTACCTGTAAAGGTTTGGGTTACATGGGGCAGGAGTGAAGGGGGGGGAGAGGATTGGAGAGGGAGGGACTGGGGTGCCACAGGCAGGCTCTGACCAGGATACCTCACCTGGGTAGCTCCCAGACAGCAGCCTAGCAAGTTCCTTAGCCCTCCATACCTTCCATGCCCCTGTATGTGCTTAGAGCAGCTGCAGGGACCGTGCTTGCTGGGATGAGCCCAGGAGATGAGGGGGGAGAGGCATTTCACATGCTGCCTGTCTTCCAAATAGCCAGTTGCTCTTGACTGAAAAGTGACCAATGAGAGCTACTGAGGTGGGGGCAACATGAGAAGCCTCTACCCCCTCCCCCAGGTTCTCAGCATTCAGAGGGGCACACATGGCTGGCTTTTCTGAGTGCCGAGCAGAGGGCAAAGTAGGCAGCTGGCTAGCTGAGTCTCTGGTGGGTAGACCATATTTTGCCCACTCCTGAGAGAGGCAGAGCTGTACCTAGGGTACCATAAATCAGGGTGACCATGCTTTTTGGTGGGGCCTCTGACTGGGGCTGGACATGCACCAGCAGTCCCCCAACCAGAACCTCTCCATCCCCCCCAGTGTCTCTTGCCTACCATTGGGCCTGCTAATCAGCACCTCCCTCTTTCCCAGCACTTACCACCTGCTGTGAATCACATGTTTCACACCCTCAGGAGGGAGGGAAGAGAAAGCAGCAACGCTGCAAGTACACCTGGGGGAAGGGGGCAGAACTACCAAAAGAGATGGGAGATCTATTACCTGATTAAACAACATTGAAGACAACAAATGTACTGCACAACACAATCCTGATTTGATCAAGCAAAAGGTAACATGATCGAATATATATTTTTGATTGCTACTATTTATTCCAAAAAATAAGGCTTATTTGTGGATGAGAAGTCATAGAATGAGTTAAGAAGCTTTTACTGTTTTCCTCATAAGAGGATATACTGAAATGTTAGTTAAAAGGTATGATTAATTTATCAATCATGAAAATACCTCACTTGATTAGCTGCAGCTAAATTAATTTAAAAAATCTTATTTGCTAATTTCTGCTTCCTGGCAGCTCACCTGAGATTAACAACATATCTAGATCATGTAACTTCATTTCCTGTTAAGTCATAAGAGAAAAACTGATACACACAAAAAATGCAATGGTATAAAAGAGATATTCCTGATGACAGCATTCAGAGTACGTGTAACAACACAACCTGTTGATGTTCAGACACAGTCAACATTCACTATCCATCAGGGTAAATGTTGGGCTTACCCTTGCATCAGTCAACAGTCACCTTAACAGCAGCCAACATCTCCTCTGGCATGAGATCCTCCCTTCCATTGTTGCCCCTCTGGGCCAGGTAAAAGGGCCAGAATGAAAAGGGGTCCCCAGCACTTTAGATTGTTGGGTAAGAATTCTCTTGGTGCAGATATTGTCGAAGGCAGCCCTCAGGGGACCTGCTCATAAATCCTAGTAGAAGTGCTGATGATGAGCCTATGCATGAGGATATAGAAGACAAAATTAATGAAAAAATAAAAGCAAAAGGTGACAAGGCAATATCAGTTCTCACACAACAGTGCAAAATGGCTAATTAAGTAACAGGTATAGTAAGATTAAACAGTAAATATATGCAAAGAAGGCTGTAATTTCCAGCGAGGTATCAAGAGAATAAGGAAGTATTTGGGGGGGAATTACAAAAAAGAAAACCGGAAAACATGAACATATTTTGGGAAGTCTGGAAAATACTGACTGTATTTCTATATACAAAATATACACAAATATTTGCTTACAGTGCACATAAATTGTATATATGCATAAATGACTAAATTCTGATCTTGATTACACCAGTGTAATTCCAGAATAATTCAATTAAATTAATTTTCAGATTAACACCAATATAACTGAGATATAAACACTAGTCCCATTGATATACATACATACACACACTATATAACAACTGTATTTAATTGTGATTAATGAATCAATCAGATAATAGTATGAGTATAAGTGATCTTGTGAGGAATGTACATTAATAGAAGGGGAAATTCCCCTCTATGTAGTAAAACAGCACAAGGTCTATGTATCACGGTACTATTTAATTTAATGCCTCCAAATAAATCTTAAGTATCTATTGGCCTTGAACTGTCCTGAGCACGGAATGAATTTCACTCATTAGAAGAAGCCAAAAACCCAACCATTTTCCATAAAATGCTACAACATATGCATTGAAAGTCAAGACCCTTATAGGACATAACACATCAAAATGAAAAGAACTACTGAAGCATAACACTTCTGTCCCAAAAAGTATGGTTGATATTTTATAAATGCCTTCAGGTGATAGATTTGTATGCCAACTACAGGTTTGTTTGTTTTTAAGTGCATCAGATTGTACTTCTCTATTTATAAAAAGAAAAGGAAAAAGTGCAGCTTAATCTATATTTCTACTGCCTTAAAAACTAATTAATTGCAGAGTGTAATCCTGGAATTTATTTATGGTAGGTACTCTACAATACTTTATCTGCTTATATTATTTGGCATGCTACCAACACAAAGCCTACATATTTGCAAAGGCAAGACTTGCTGTTTCCTATGCTTTATTAACCATTGATAAGTGAAACTAATGCGAAGTAATTTATTGTTATCGTGATTGACTAATTATGAAGATTACATTTATGTGCAGTGCTTCAAATTAATGTAACTACACTTACAGTTTGCAATCTGTTTATCCCTATTTACCAAATGAATAATAACTAGAATTTTGTTATTTTGTAAATTCCAGTTGAACAGAGATGAATTTCTTAATTTACTGCTAAAGCATTTTTTCCAACACTGCTTTTTTTCCCAGCAACTTGTTTTAAAATGGCATTTGATAAAAATAGCTATTTTATATATTCTGCTAAATATTAGATATGCTATTTATACAATTGTTTCAGCAATAAAAAGTCATTCTCTTAAATCTTAATAATGTTTTTGCATTTATTTTTGATTTAGAGGCTCTTGATAATACAAACAGATATATGGGCTACATATAAACTAGTTCATTAAAACTGAAAAGCAACAGAGCAACAACTATGGTTTTTCAAGTTTTAATTTTTTGGAACAATTTACATCAAATCAATTTTTATGAAATCTCAGTCCCTTTCATATAAAATATATTTAATGAAGTACTTGCAATATCATTTCTTTAATTTACCTTATCTCTAAGTAGTAGTTTTAAGTATACTAGCATACATTGAATTTTCATTCTTAGACTGTAATAAGGGTAACAGACCCAAACTTTTAAATATATAGTCCATGTTTATAAGTCTAAGACTGGAAAATCCAAAACCTGAAGATATGTAATATTAAACTGCTTACCTGAAAATTTGTCAAAATAGGTATAAACTGCTCCTTTATTTTTCCATGCAGGGAATACTAGCTGAGCTCATATTTCCTGCAATTTGAATTTGCTGTTCCCTCCGAAGGTAACTCTTACCCACTATGAACATATAAACTTCATAGTCTCTAAAATAAGGAAAACAGGAAATACTAAAAACAACAAACCTCCCAGCTCCCTTTTGCCACAAAAAGAGAATAAAACAAGGGCCAAACGAGTTGAACCAATCGTTCTCAACCTTTCTAGACTACTATACCCCTAATTTGTCTTGCGTGCCCCCACTTAAAAGTAACTTGCTTATAAAATCCGATATAAAAATACAAGTGTCACAGCAAACTACTACTGATAACTTGCTTACTTTATTTTCAGAAGCTTCAGAGGAGTACCTGAGTTAGTCTGTAATAGGAAAAACTTAAAAAAAACAACAAATAGTCTTGTAGCACTTTAAAAACTAACAAAACGTGTAGATGGGATCATGAGCTTTTGTGGGTACAACACCATCTACATGTAAGTGCTACCAGGCTATTTGTTGTTTTTTATTTTTCATATTATAAAAATTAATTGGAATATAAATATTGTCTTTACGTTTCAGAGTACAGTTTATAGACCAGTATGAACAAATAATTGTCTGCATGAAATTTTATTTTCTACTAACTTTGCTAGTGCTTTTTATTTAGTCAGTTGTAAAACTAGGCAAGTATCTATATGTGTTGATGTACTCTCAGAAGTTCTCTGAATACACATATCCTGGTTAAGAACCACTGAGTTAGACTATTTTCAGTACTGAAACTGACTTTACAGCACAAACTACACTTTTCAACATGAATCTGTTTCCCCTTACCCCAGTGTTTTATTAAAACTATATTAAGAATTCCATTAGGGGCTGCACTGCTAATTTCCTGCCCTGGTAATGATCTGAGGCTGACTCCTGTTACTCTTCTTAACTTCCATTAATGGTCAAGCCCACTAAGGAGTAACAATGAGAAGGCATGAAGGCAACCGGTTAGTCGTAGTTCTCTTGGACACAGGTTTATACTGTTACACACTGATGTAAAGTAATAGAAATAGATGTTTTATCTGAAGATTTAGCCTACTCCAGATAAAAGCCAAGAGAGCTTTGATATTTGACCCGCTGGCCTGACCATAAGGTTGAGCGAAAATACCAACAAGATGACTGAAATGATTAAAATGAAATGCTGCTACTCTTTTAGGAGGAATTCCATATGGACCTGTAGCATTAATTTATCCTTATGAAATTTTATGTAGGAATGTCTGAAGCCCTCCCTTACTAGAAAAACTAAAATCACTGATATCAGAAATAATTTCTTACCTGGTAATTGTTCATGGAGGAAACACAATTTAATAGATCACAAACCTGGGTCTGCAAGCTAGTGTGATCCACCTCTGAGCATCTGTTATGGAGCCTGGGCTCCTCACAATCCTCTAACAGTCTATAAAAGGACTAGATGATCAGGTACACTAAATTAGACATACACTCCTAAAAATGGTCTTTCTAGAAAAAGCAGGACATCGACAAGCAACTTGTGAGGAAGTATACATGCCCACTGCCTACACGCTGTTCTGTGATTAACTAAAGAGCTTTAGTCGACACAGTGGTCTATTTGGCATATTTCGTAAACACAAGATGTAGTTTTTTTAAAAAAAAATCAAATACTCAAAAATAGCATAAGACCTATTATTTTATTAAAGTGGCTAGATATTACTCCTTTAAAAAACATTGTTGTATTCAAAATTCTCTGTACAAGGTGTTAAAATACATGTACTGATGTTACTATGTTAAAAATAAAGTACATTAGAGCCATGTATGATATTCTGCTAACATTTTGCTGCTCCATATATCAAAGTTTGGTTGCACTGAAGACAGTGAACTCCATCATGGGGATTATATGTTCCTGGGCTGCAGACAACTACAGACAGAGAAAACAGAACAAAAGAAAATTTTTAAAAAAACTAAATGCTTACTAAAATACTTTCTAGACTAGAAATATATAAAACTCCTTTCCTTAGAACGTAACATTCAACTAACTGACAAGATCAGATTTTTCTTGCACTAATATTTGAATTAAAAAGGGACACACATAATAGCCTTCTCTTAACAAAAGTAGTTTGTAGGACTTTCTGATTTCCCCATTGCTCTACCCCCCCCCCCCCAATTAGTTTTTCATGATTAAAAACCAGTGATCAGCAACTACCAATAGATTCTAGTGTAGTCAACACCCAAAGTTTGAACTAAATGGTTTTATCTCCACCTAGTGGACACATATGTACTTGAAAGGAAATTTAAAACAAAACTGAGATTTGATAATCTATTAATAAGTGGGAAGTGCACAAAGAATGCAACAGCCAAAAAGAAATTAATATGTGGGTGTGAGCAGAAAAACTTTTATATTGGTTAACTCATGCTATACCTTTCTGTGAAATTAATACACATTCAGCTAAGCCTGTTAATAGCCTTAGTCTGCATGTATATGATATGCTAGCTCTAAAAATATAAAGGGGGTAAGCGGTTAACAGTTTACTCGTTAAGCATTGCCTTATCAGCATGCTTACCTGGGTAAGCAAGCCAGGCTTACTGTGTCGCACTACAAGCGGGGAGCTGTTCCAGTGGTCCCCCACTTGCAGTATGCCCCAGGATCTGTAAGGCTATTCGCACAGCTGTAGGTTGTGTGCTTGCGTAAGATTGTTTTCCCTTTTTCACATCTTCGCCTAAATGGCAGACTGAGCTGTTCACAAATAACTTTTTCTATGATTGTTTGTTATAGTTCCTTGCCTGCCCCAACCAAAGTGAACTGAAAATTGCCATGGAATTCACTGGGAGCAGTATGCCCCAGAGGGCTGGTTATCAGTTAAAAATATAGTTAACGTTTCAAATGGGATTTTACATCCCTAGTTAGCGCCCAACATAAGTGATCAGGTGGAAGCAAGCAGGATTTTTAGAGGAAGAGCAGGACAATAAAGGCATTAATGCTCAGCCCCCTTGGAAACTGGGTTCCTTCTTCTATAGCTGAAGCATACCAGTTTCCATACTTTGTCATAGTCCAAAGGTTTCTATTAGGTCTTATCCTGCCTGAATCCATTAACTTCTTCTATAGCTGAAGCACACCAGTTTCCACACTTTGTCATAGTCCAAAGGTTTCTACTAGGTCTTATCCTGCCTGAATCCATTAATTCAAGAAGATTTGTGGGGCTTCATCCTGCCAATTCCCATAGTCAGATTCCCCTGACCCAGGGCAGCCACCAGGGGCTGCCTAACTACTTGTTCCTTTCTAGCTACTCAAAGGAGCTTTACAGGTCCCCTCAAATTTAAAAACAGCAAGCAGTCCTGTGGCATCTTAAAGACTAACAAATGTATTAGGTCATGAGCTTTCGTGGGTAAAAATTCCTCATCTGATGACTTGGGTTTTACCCATGAAAGCTCATGACCTAATAATTTGTTAGACTCTAAGGTACCACAGGACTGCTGGGGAAAGTGAGGAAGTATGTCTGGAAGTGGTGTGTGAAGCTCAGAATCTATCTTTCAGCACATCTGAATGGTTCTGCTGGAAGAAACCTTAGATACACCTGCAGGAAATAATACTCCCCAGTCTCCATATTGGTTGAGCTAGTGAATATCCTTTCCTTTCCCCAGTGTGTCTCAACCTCAGAAGCAAAATTGCACTCTGAACATTACTGCTCCCAGTGAATTCCATGGGAATTTTCAGTTCACTTTGGTGGGGGCAGGCAAGGAACTATAACAAACAATCATAGAAAAAGTTATTTGTGAACAGCTCAGTCTGCCATTTAGGCGAAGATGTGAAAAAGGGGGAAAAAATCTTAAGCAAGCACACAACCTACAGCTTGCTGATCTTACTGCTGCGAAAACCTATAATGTTTCTTACAATAAACATAACTTGCCTCGATCTTCCTTATTGAGCATGAATTCTCATTGGCCTAACTTTACCCTTTGTGTACAAACATCTCCACAAAATACTCACCTCATATATTCCATCTGTACCTATCTCACATACCATTTCACATCTCACAAACTCTTACCTGCATTGACATGTTAATTTATTTTGGAATCCCATATGCTGACATTTTGTGCTCTACTCCAATTTTAGTACTATTTGAATATTTGTTTCAGCAATACACTCTCTTTATTCTTCAATTAATTATTTTTTTTTAATCACTGAGTTGAACACACTAAAGAAATTTGAATGACTGAAATGGCAAGTTAAATTTGTACCCAGTCAATTTTAGTAAATTACTACAGGAAATCAACCAATAAATGAGTAAAGTTATAAATCAAGTGTGAGTTTCTGATTATCTTATCCCATGGGATGAAATCAAGTTGTCAGGAATGTATCAGGACCCCTTAAAAGATAAGAATTTTAGTTCTGTATTTCATCTCCATTTGTAGCTTAACTCCTGACACAAAATAAAGACATTACAGGAATGTTTTTAAGACCAACAAAATACTTGTTTTATATCTCATGGCTTTGTGAAGACACAATAGTGATACAATTACTTTAATTGAACTTTATTGGAGGGTCATGTTATTTGTAGCAATTACCCATTTCATTTACCTTTCAAATAGTCTTTATTTTATGTACCTTAAAATTTTAAAAAGCACTTAAACTACTAGAATGAACAGGAATTATATTAAATTTATGTTTCTTAGATTTTTATAATATTAAAATGAAAAATCTGCAAATTAAAATATTATAAACACAATTATGAAGTTAGGAAGGATAAAAATGATGTATCAAAATAGGTTATTTAAATTAAATTTGTTTTCTTTTTGGCTATATCTAGACTACACTGAAGTTTCAAAAAAGAGGGGTGTTTACCGAAGAAACCACATCCGACTACTTTCACTTTTGAAAGTGAGATCAGAAGAAGATATGCAAATTCCCGCGGAATTTGCATATCCTCTTTCGAAACTTCAGCGTAGTCTAGACGAGCCCTTTAAAATATAAAACCCATCTAAAATTAAATGTGAAATTATGACAATACATGGTTAAGGCCTAAACATGCTATATTTTATTAACATTTAAATAATGTAATATTAGAATAGCGTATATGGTGCTGGAATTTTAAAGAAAATTAAACTACTGAACTGGTAGAAGTCACTGTTTAAGCACCTGGAAGAAAATTATAGTTTGTATCTCTAGTTCAACTCTCCCTGGTACAGCAGCATACATGGTCTGGCATGATTTTAGTTAGCTAGATGTCCACTTGGTGTGGCTAAGTTTTCTGCAGTCCCATTAAGTTTGCAAGTCCTGGCTCTCAGTGTTCTATGCTGTTATGTAGCTCTAATTTACCCCTAAATGTCTTCTAAGAGCCCAGTAAGCACTGGAAGTATAATGCTGCTAGACAATATTGGCCTCCCGAGGTTTGGCAAATTCTCTGGTTCGGCAGAGTAAGGTCATAAAGGTGGCAGACTAGAGAGATTCAACCTATACCTACTTGTACTATAAGGCTACGTCTACACTGGCCCCTTTTCCGGAAGGGGCATGTAAATTTCACCAGTCGTCGTAGGGAAATCCGCGGGGGATTTAAATATCCCCCGCGGCATTTAAATAAAAATGTCTGCCGCTTTTTTCCGGCTTTTAAAAAAGCCGGAAAAGAGCGTCTACACTGGCCCCGATCCTCCGGAAAAAGTGCCCTTTTCCGGAGGGTCTTATTCCTACTTCAAAGTGAATAAGACCCTCCGGAAAAGGGCACTTTTTCCGGAGGATCGGGGCCAGTGTAGACGCTCTTTTCCGGCTTTTTTAAAAGCCGGAAAAAAGCGGCGGACATTTTTATTTAAATGCCGCGGGGGATATTTAAATCCCCCGCGGATTTCCCTACGATGACTGGTGAAATTTACATGCCCCTTCCGGAAAAGGGGCCAGTGTAGACGAGCCCTAACTGTTTTTTCAGGATGCTTTATATATAACTATTCCATTGTGGGGTCTGAGCGCCCCGTATTTTCAAGGAGAAAACTTTTGGGCAGCAGCACCCAATGGATCGGTACATACACCCTAACTGCCCTTAAACCTTCAGGCAAGAGCAGAACTGCTCCAACTGCTCTCTTGTCCCTTCACCACCAGAATCTTGGTAACAATTCAATCCACTGTAGCGGGGAAGGGAAATGGGTTGTGGAATATATATATGCCTGCAACAAATCTCAAAGAGCCACAGTAAATGGCCAGGTAAATAATTGTTTCTTATTCTTCTTTGAGTTCTTGTACAGATTTATAATCCACCAATTCCCAAATAGTTCTCCTCTGGAGGTGGAATCTAACTGAGGTCTATTTAAACTGTGACTACAGAACTATCATTCCAAAGTTGGCATCAGTCCAAAATGCTTTTCTTATCACAAAACCTTGAGTGAATGTATGTGTGTAGCAACTCTATAAATATACACAAGAACACTCCTCAGAAGGACCACAGTGGCAGCATGAGCTGCAGCTGAATGCACAATAGTACTTGATAGCAGTGTCGCATTTTAACAACTCATAACAAGTACAGCTACAGAAAGAGATCCAGTTAGAAATCCTCTGGGCTGATATGGCCTGGCCTGTTATTCTTTCTGCTTAAGCTACAAAAAGTATTGTTTGCTCTATAGAAAATGAAAACATCATATGGACATCTGAAATCACAGCTTTTTTTCCTCTTTGGTGGTATGTGGTTTCAGAAAAATTATCAGTAGTGTATAGTCACATTTAAGCACAATTTTAAGACCCTCTTTGACAAGAACTCTGGATGAGATTTTAATTCTTTAATGGAACTATTCGATTTTTAACATTGCTGATAAATGTTTATTTCAGAAGTTAAGAAAAAGGCAGGGAATTGAAACAGAAGTTAAACTTGTTCTCGATTTCCCCTCTTGAATACAACTGTGTGACGGGATGAGATCTACTAATTCTAAAATATTAAATGA